ATTTCTTGGGAAGTTCAACTCTACTCCTGCCGATACATGAGAAAATTGAGACCCACAATAAAGACATGGGTCCAAGACCATGGTGGCAGAGCTGGAACTGGAAGCCAATCTCTGACTTCCTACGGCCATGTTTGTTCTGCCCCCTCCCCCAGGGTGTTCTAAAATGTTCCAGGGAAACATGCATCACTGACTTACTGCTGCATTAAACAATGTTGATTCATATAGTGAGAAAAATCATTCTTTTTCAAGCTTTCTGGTCATATCAAAGAAGTCTTAGTTTGATGCTATTTTGTCCTTAATACTCTGTTTTTTAAAAGAGAGTGGTCCAAGTCCAGTCTTCAGTAGGGAATAGTATCTAGTTAGACTTTAATATCACCATGTTGCCTTTCCTTTATTTATACTTATGATTATCATCCAATTACAACAAGCTTTCCACATGTGGTAGTGATGACATATTCCTTTTAAAATAAGGTTTGTCAAGAGTCAGAATAAAAGCAAATGTTAACTAAAAATAGTATAGCACACAAATGTAGCACCACAGAAAAAGCTTGGGAATATTGTGTAGCATCATGCACGTACTATGTTCAGGACTCCTCGATACTTTCCTCTCCAAGACAAATAATGCTCTTCCCCCTTTCTTTACCAGAAAATACTTCCTCTCTCTTACTGTTCCTCCTGCTTCCCACCTGCACCTTCTCCAGGCTCTTGTCTGCCAGCCTCCTTGCCTCTCCAGTTGCTAGACTCTGTCATTTTCAGCATAGTTCTCTCCACCTGCCAAAAACCCAATTTGAGCCTGCCTCTCTGCAAACCATATGGTCTGGCAGACAAGGCGGGCTTGATGTTGATTCAAGAGTTGAAAGCAAATCCGCTTAACCCCATCCTCCATTCTTAGCAGGAGAGAAGGCAAACTTCATTGTCTTGTCTCTCCTATCCTAAGCCCAAAGAAGGTGGGTCCACCGAGTTAGCCCCATGGTGCTTGACCTGGATCCTGCTGCTTTGCTCCTCCACAGGGACTATTCTTGGAGCATTTTGTGCTCCTCACTGGATGCATTTTGGGCTGACAAAATTTCCTCAGGTCAGAAGGGAATATGACCCAGCCAGCCTCTCCTGCAGTGCAGGGTAGGGAAGGCTCACAAAGGCTGGTCACAGGAGGCCGCAGGGCCAGGCAGGCTTAGGGGTCTGCACACAGTCTCTGATGGCACTGTCCTGGCAAGCCAGGCAGCTGGTCCTGGAGGTCAGCACCACCCCATGTCCTCTCTGAATGGATGAGGTGAGGTAAAGCCACACCAGCCCGTTGGAGAAAAGGAAGAGAGAGAAGAAAGAGGAATGAAGGGGAAAAGGAGGGCAGAAAAGGAAAAGAGAAAGGTGGAAAGGACCCGCCCAAGACTACCGGTAGAGTTTTCTGAGACCACATAAAAGGTATCATAAGAGGGTATTCCAAACCATAGTGGGAGTGGGTGGCCCATTCACAAAGGCTCCATTAAGGTAGGAAGAAGAGTTGACTGCACTCCACTGTGCACTGGCTTGTTTTCATTCAATCAGCATTAATTAGTGCCTACTATGTGCTAGGTGTTGTAGCTCCAGCAATGCACAGGACAGACAAGGTCCTTGTCCTCATGGAGCTGACACTGGAGCACAGTAATAGAGTCATGGTAGCACGTGGGGTGGGAACCAGATTGCCTGAGTTCTAAGCCCTGCTGCCCTGCATCTTAGCTGGGTGACCGTCAGTCTCCACTTCAGATGAGAAAGTATGCTTACCTGTAAAATGGGAATAATAAGAGACCCACTGCAAGGGTCTTGGTAAAAATCCAAAGACATAATTAATAAATGGCATAGTAAGCTTCTAGTGATACCTCACTATGGCTTTAATTTGCATTTTCTCAATGTCTAATACCGTATCTTGCCATGTATAATGCACATATTTTTGCCCAACTTTTTTAGGGAAAAATAAGGATCCACATTACACATGGGTAGTACTAATATATAAATATTTTAAATTATTTTTTATGCTTATGCATTAAAAGTATAACTCTACAAAGCAGTGACTATATCCATATGCAAAATAATACCCGGGAATATGATAATCAGTTTTGTTTCCATATATAAATAATTAATTAAATTTAAAAATTAGAATGAAAGATTTTTTTTTCCTGAAAGTTTGGGCCAACAACGTGGGTGTGCACTATACACAGGAACATATTATACATGGCAAAATACAGTAATGTTAAGCAGCTTTTTATGTGCCTATTTGCCATTACAATTTCTTTTTTGGTAATATATCCATTCAAATCTTTCACCATTTTATTGGGTTGTTTGTTTTATTACTAAGTCATAAGAAGTCTGGATGCAAGTCCAGATGCAGGTCCTTTAAACATATATATCAGATATATATTTTGCAGATATTTCTACCAGATTGTGGCTTGTCTTTTTTTTCTTAGTGGTGCCTTTCCTAAAGCAAAAAATTCTAAATTCTTATAATGCCTAATGTATAATTTTTTCTTTTATAGAAATAAAGAAACTTTGCCTAACTTAGGTTTTAAAGTTTTATATCTTATATTTAGGATTTTGATTTAAGTTAATTTTTTTTGCATAGTGTGAAGTAAGGATCGAGGTTCCTTTTTTGCATAAGAATAAAAAAATTGTTTATGACTCTTTTTACAGACAAAAAGTAAGGCCCCAAGGAGGTCAAGTAAAGGGCTCAAGACTCACAAGGATTATAAGAGATTGAGATACACTTGAACTTAGGTCTCCTAATTCCAAACAAGGCACTGTTTACATGCTGCCTCCACTGCTTAAGTGCTTACATCTTTTTAAAGGCAGTGGGGTAAGAGCGAGGCTTGGAGCAGACAGATATCAAGTTCTGGCTCTATCATATACCATGGGCAAGTTACTTAGACCTTCTAGCCTCTTTTTTATTTCATTTGCAAACAGTGTTAATAATAGCTTCTCTTCAAAATGTTGTGAGGGCTATTTGAACAAATTAATATGAAGTGCTTAGCACAGGCCTGGCACCTGTCCGGTACTTCATTCCTGAGTCAGTGTGTCCGGATGGCTTGTCTCACTCCCTCAGTCCTTTTGTGTGTGGGCAGTGACTCTGATGGAGACTCCGGCAGACCCATGACTTTGTGGATCACTCTCGGGTAACAGAAAGTTCTATCACCACCTTAAATAGCAGACATGGTCTCGTTTCAGTAGTTACGATGCCTAGTCTCTTGTAATAACTTAAAAACAAATTGATTGTAAATGAGACTTATGGTTTCCCTTTCTCTTTTCCTTCAGGTTGAGCCAGCCACGAGCCAGCCACCTGCCTTCTGGGCAGGGCATGAAGTCAGCTTTTTGTTTCTTTCTCCACTTCTTTTTCCCCAGCTTACCAAATGTGGCTTCTGTTTTCTACCCTGCTGGAGTATGGAAGACAATAGGAAAGCATGTAATAGCCTGGCTCTGCTGGGAGACAGGGCTTTCCGGGTCTGCAAGAGTTACACGGGCTCCTTATTTTCTGAGCACGTCTCTCCTGTTGGATTCGTCTGTCTGCTCTTCTCCCGATGCAGGTAGAATTTCTCCTTCACATGACTGCTCCCCATTTCCCTCCTCAGACTCAGTGTACTTGACTGAAGGGCCACATCGTGCAAGCTCTCTGTTGGAGTAACTTGCCTTCTGGGCAGGCTTCCTTTTGAAACAGCTCCACGTCAGCATCTCTGCCACAGATTCTACATCTGGTCCCAAATCGCCATGTAGCTTCACCTGCCAATGGAGGAGACAGCAGCTGCTCCCCATAGAGCAGCAACTCTGTTTCCGTCCCCCTGGCCATCTGCAGTAGAAAGTCTTCAGGTTTCTCAAGTGTGTATCGAACACCAGTCCCTCATGCCCACCTCCAACTTCAGTGGACACGTATCAGCATGCCGAGTGGTCTTCTAATGAAGCACCCTCCTTACACCTGTGGTGAGGGGACAACCACCTCTCACCTCTCCTTCTGGAAGAGGGGGTTCACCAAGTAGCAGAGCAATCCAAAGAGAGTGTGTCACAAATTCTTCTTCCAAATCTATTCTTGATCATTCAAACCCTGAAGCTGGTTATTTTTTTAATTGCATTTCGGTTTATCACCTCACTTTGGAATTTCATTTCCATTGTTTTGTGGTGCTTCTGGTGCAGCGCTTTTAATCTGACATCTTGTTATGTGACAGTGCGGGTCTGGTGGTCTCTCCAACAACCATCCTCCATTCCCCCTTGGCTAACTCAGGTGAACAGACCTAAGACAGTTTGGTTGTCAGGAAAACATCAGATTCTTCTTAATGTAGGTTGTAGCCTGTGGTGGTTAGAGGCAGGTGATACAGCTCTTTTCTTGCAACCTTGCTCTAAGACAATGTCTTAAAATGCAGCAAGTATCAGCCAAAATTCACCAAGCATACACGTTTATTAGCAAGTAGACGAACAACAGCTCTGTGTCTTTGGAGAGACTCCTCCTCTCTCTGCCTTCAGGTTCCCTGTCAAGCCTCTTGCAGAAAGCTCCATCAGAAAAAGATCCCTTTAAAGTGTAATTGGAGGCCCTGTTATTACTAAGCCAGCAGGTGGGATCCTCTATGGGAGGATGCAAGGCCGCAGGGCTCTAGAACTCCCACCTGTGCTACTGACAGCTAAGCATACTAGTTCCTTCTACCTTACCCATGCACAAGTTGTGGGTCCTGCTGTCCCACTCCTAACTGATCTGAAACACAACTCATTTTGCCAATAAAAACTTATTCCTAACACCCCTTATGCTAATTAACTAACCCAAAGTTATTGATTCAGATAAGGACTCTTCACATACTAATTAACCACTCATTCCTGGAGTGTTGATTAGTATTTACTTGCACATATACACATCACACCACTTATTCTGAAGTAATTTAAAGTAAATTACCATGCACACGATATAGCACTGACAGAACTCTGATTTTGTTTGGGCTGCCGCGTGCACAGCCCTGAGGGATGAATTGTGATTGCTTCTGCTAATTCAGTCATGACGCACTCGACTTCATTTTGTCACGTACTCACTTTTCCATCCTCTCCTTGTAGTGATGGGTGGCCACATGCCCCAGTACTGGTCTATGAAACAGAAGGGGAAGTATTATGAGAAATATTTTCCTTCCTGATATAAGATAGACACATGTAAAGCAACTTCTCAACCCCTTGGCTGCTTTTGCTTCTGTCTTTGTATGTGGTCGGGAGATAATGTGATGCTTGTAGCCAGGGCAGCCACTCTGCAATCATGAGGCCTCCAAGGATGAGGATAAAGAGCTAAAATGCTGAGAATGTCAGAATGAAAAAGCCTGGGTTCTGATGATTTTTCTGCATTACCGACCATCCCTGGCACTTCTGCCTTTTTTCAGTGAGAAATAAATCTATCTATGGTGTTAGTCACTTTTAGTTAGGTTTTCTATTATTTTCAGCCCTAAGTATTCCTGATACTTTGGCCTGGAATAAAGATGTAAGGGAGAGAGCTTCCCTAAACATCTGAGGCCCTGAGAAGACACACACACACTTTCCTCCCACTCCAAAGGCTTTGAAGACCTATTCTCCCCGGAGAGTTAGTGCAAACCCATCATTTCAGGGCATTCTGACCAGTTTTCAGCTCAGTTTCTTCATCTTTAAAATAAGAAAAGTAGTATCTTCCCTAAAGACCTCATGGCTTAGAATAAAAATTAGCTAAAGTAATTTAAATGAGAGATGATTTGAGGCAGTGCTTAAAAGCATCTACCCTGGAACTGGATGGCCTGGGTTACAATCACAGTTCTGTCAGTTGTAAATTGAAGGAGCAAATTATTTCTCTGTGAATTAGTTTCCTCATCTGCAAGATGAAGATAAAAATTGTAACTGTTTCAAAGGGCTTTTGATAGTCTTTAATGAGTTAATACGTGTAAAGCACTTACAATAGTAACCAACAAGAGTAAGTGCACCACGTGTTAGCTATCATCATCATCATCATCATTACCATCATTATTATTACATCTAAAAGGGTTTTGAAAAATGTAAATGCACTATGTGAAAGCGTTAAGAGGATAATGATAAAATAACATCATCACCCCCAAGTGAGAAATAAAATAATATTAGTGAAATCACTACCAGGACTTATGATTTTATTGAGAGAAGAAAAAGAAAAAAGAAAAGGAAGAGGAGAAAGGGATGGGAATGCTTGGGAAGTAGGAGGAGAAAGAAGAGGAGAGGAACTGCATGGCAAGTGAAATTGCACAGAGTGGAAATAAGCACTAAGTGATAAGAACACGAAGAAACTGCTCATTTTCTTTTCAGCAGGCATCGCTGTGACTTTGGGAGAACATCCTTCAAAGTGCACCGCTTCCCACAGAGAATAATGTGGCTTTCCCACAATTTCATCAGTTGTGCCCAAGCTGTATTAAAAGCACTGGAGCCAGCCCTTCACCTTAGGGTAGTGCCATGTGGTGTCATTATTTCAATGACAAACAAAATCTTTCCCAGGAAACAGAACAGAGAAAGTAACTAAAATTCCTTACTGTGGTGAAAAAGTCAGGATAGCTAAGCATCCCACATTTGCATGGTTGTGTTACAGTTGAGATAAGACATAAGGTGGTGCATAAGGGTCATATTTTGAATAGAGAATCCAGCATTAACACGTGTAGCTTGCACGTGGGGTCCAGATACTGCACTTCCCGGTTCCTGGTATTCACTAAATCAGGAACAAGTAAATTCATTCTCACATCTAACACCTTAAAGTTCAGCTCCTCTCCTCCCCTGGAAAGACCTATTTCTCATCTCCAGTCATGTTCCCTGGCTGGAATCGTGATCCCATTGTTCCCATGCGCCCTTCATCTCCACCAGTTTCCTCCACCCTGGCGTAAAGGCCCAATAAATATTTCTGCAGTTCAAAAAAGAAAATGATGTATGTAAGGGGCCAAGCAGAGCTCTTAGGGACATACTGCTCCATCACAGCACTTAACAAATATTAGTTAGCCTTCATTCCCTTCTGTAAAATAGGTCTTTCATATCTCTCTATCGCAAACTTTTCAGAAGCTGTGAAGTGCAATCTTAAAGGTTAGCTGGCTTTGGGCACAACAGATGGGAAAAATGATCTGTAAGTAGATTATAATTTGCTAAGTGACTAAACACCTTATTTAAACAATAAAATGGAGTGTTGAAGTAATCTATTTCACTCATCAGAATCAAATTCATGAGTTCTATTATCAGAATATAGAGGTCCATAAAAGACTGTCATTCCATAAAAACAACAAAAATAGACAAACTAAAAAATCTTATTTCGCTTTAAAGCCTTTAAAGTCTATGAATACAAAACAAAAAAAAATCCGTATAATCTGAATCCAGAGAAGAAGAAGGCCTTTTTAGACGCGTACAGACAGGAGACGACATTCACCTCGAGGGGAGTTGCTGAGTCTGGTGAGAGGCAAGCTGGCCACAGGCAAAGCCTCGTGGTGGGAACAAGGAGAAGTTGGCCACACTGTTCCAGGCCGTGCACAGGCTGGCGTGGCAGACTGGGACCTGGAAAAGCTCCAGACCCACCAGTTTCCCCCATAGGAATATTATTCTGTGAGTCCCTGATCAGAAAGCCTGGAATAAGGTGTGGAAAGCAGAGAGAGAGAGATTTCTCAGTCTTGTGGAGCTTAGATCCCAAAACCTTGGAGGGAGGGGCCCAATCTCCTTCAAGACATTTAAACCAGAGGTGAACTAAATCTAACTCCACTGGCCATCCAGCCCCAGTTCAGCTCATCTGCTAGTTAAATCGATGAGTTCAGCCCCTAGTAAAAGCTTCATGTCAAACAAAAGGGAAGAAATGATCATCTATTTCAGTCTCTACTGGCATTTTACACACTGTGTGTGAAATACAATAAACAGTCATGACCCTAAAGAAGCTGAAAAATGTGCCTCATAGTGAAGAGACACAGATGCATGTCAACAGGCTCAGACCCACAGATGGGCCATATGATGAAATTGTTACAAAAGGATTCATTTGCAATTATTATAAATATGTTAAAGAACTGAGAGAAAATGAAAGATTAAGTAGAGTCAGAGATGGAGAATTTTATCAAATAAATAAAAATTATACAAAAGAACCAAACAGAAATTCTATAACTGAAGTATACCATATCTTTAAAAATTATATTTGATAGGCCTAAGAGCAGAACAAAGGGTTAGCAAACCGTGAGTCAACAGGTTTATTCAACTGGAGCACAGAGAAAACAATAAACTGAAAATAATAACATCAAAGACCTGTGGAACAATATAAGCTCAACTAACACGTGTAATTGAAGTTTCATAAATAGTGAAGAGAGACTAGAAAATAAAAAATATTTGAAAAGATAATGGCCCCAAATTTTCCAAAACGATAAAATACTTCAACCCACCAACATTTCAAAAGCATAACTAACACAAAGCAGAATAAACACAAAGAAAAACCCCACCTAGGTACATTATAGTCAAGCTGCTAAAATCCTAAGATAAATAAAAAATCTTAAAATCAGTTAGGAAAAAAATCATGCCATCTATGGGAGCAACAATGAAAATTTTAACTGACTTCTATCAGAAACAACACCACAACACCTTGAATGTGCTGGAAGAAACAAACCTGTCGATTTAAAATGTTCTCATCAGTGAAAATATCCTTCAAAAATGAAGGCAAAACTCAGGCATTTTCAGACAATCAAACACTGAGAGAATGTATGACCAGCAGGCGTGCACTACAAAAATGTGAAGAGAAAATACTCAGGCTGAAGGAAGAATGGCCCAGATATAAATTCACAGCTTCAGAGAGAAACGAAAAGCACTTGAAAGAATAAATATGTGTATGAATATAATAGAAGATTTAAAATGTTTCTTGATAAGACCATTAAATGTTTAAGAATATATATAAGAATATATATAAAGAATAAAGAATATATAAGAATATATTCTCAGGTTTCTAATATGTCTGAAGTAAAATATATGACAAGCAGCTCAAAAGGCAGAAGCAGGACAAATGGAATTATACTTCTGTAAGGTTCTAACACTGCTCATGGGTTGGTATAAAAATAATTTAAGGTAGGCTGTGATAAATTAAAAGATGATTATAGACTCAAGATGAGTATTAAAGTAATAAAACAAAGTATAGGTAAAAGCCACTAGAAAAGATGAAATGGAAAACTAGAAAATACTTGACTAATTCAAAAGGAGTCAACAAAAGAAGAGGGACAAATAGCAAGACAGCAAATTACTGGTAATCATATCAAGTGTATATGTATTAAACATTCCTATAGATCAATAATTTAAAATAAAAATACAATTTTTTAAAATGGGGAAAATGTTAGCAGACACTTCACAGAAAAAATACTTGAATGATCAAGAAGCACATGAAAGGATAATTAACAACATTAGCCTTCAAAGAAATACAAATATATCCCCTATTCTTTTTTCTCAGAGAGCTGAAGTCTTATATTTGTTTAAAAATACAAAAGAAAGTGGTTTTTTACTAGTGACCCTTTGTTAATTTTTCATAAGGCATACTGATCTTTGCTCTAGGGTTACACATTAAATCATTTCTGAGTACACTCAGAAATTATAATTAATAATGAATACATAATTATATATTGTATACACACACACACACACATATACATACAGGATCCAGCAGGAGTAAGGCCTGCTTGAGTGTGGTTGGCAGGGTAATAATATGGGTATAATAATTTATAGCTTCAATTTGAGCATTTCACTTAAAATCTCATGGGGTTGTATAAGTGTGATATTGTTATGTTACAGAATTACAAGCTTATGATTTTGTAATAAAAAGGGGCATTATTTGTGCCAGACCTTATCTATCTATCTATTTATATATCTCAATGGGAGCAAATTCCAAGCTCTGTGTCACAGAAAATAAATTTGTAAACTTCCCTAGTTTCATCTCTGAGTTCAGTGCATTCTGATGTGGCTGGGAGAAAGCAAAAGGATTGGGAAACAGAATACTTAGGTAGTGGAGAAAATATTACATTTAATGGCTGATTCATGTAATATAAAAGTGAAAATTGCTGGCTTATTTCAAACAAGAGGCACCTGCCATGTGCACGAACATACACATGCAACTACAG